GGCGGCCGGGGAGGGCCGGGGCCTAGGCCGGAAGGGCGGACGCGGAACCGGGGGAGGAGCCGGCGGGCACGCGGGAGGGCGCAGGACTGCGTCGGGGAAGGGACCCCCGACCCAGGCCGCAGCGCTCCTGGCTGTCCCTCATCCTCCCACCCCTGTTCTGTTGCGCCCCTTCCAGTTGCTTCTTTCCCAATATCACCTTATTCCCATGCCCTCTCCAGGTCGCTCCTATGCTGTAATCTTTCATCCAGATCGCTTCCTGTTTATTTTTCCTGTTCCCAAGAGTCTCTCTCAATCCCCAAACTCTTTTCTAAATCGTACCCTAGCCAGCAAATAGTTTCTTCCCCAAATTCTCCCCCTCCCCTTCCCCCAGTCCCTCTTCGCCCTACATGCCTGGTCACCTGGGAATAAGTGAAGAACCCCTTTCCCTCCTTGGCGTACTCCACGGGCTCCAGGGCCTTATTCAGATGTTACATTTGACCCTGATCCTTTTTCTACCGCACTTTCGCCCCTCAACTTGACAAGCGCCGGGGCCTGACTGACCAGGTTCCCAGGATTCAGTCCTCTAAGTGGGGGTGGATAGGCGTCTAGCTGAGGAAAAGCGTTCTGTAATATAAAAACACATTTTCCAGGATATTATTTCTTACTGTACGAATCAGATTGAATTTGAATCCTGGAGAATCTGGCATGGTGAGACGTAGGGCGGCCATGTGTGTACAATTAATATTGATTTTTCACATCCTATCAGAGTCAGACTTTGTGTCGTTTCCTTTTGGGGCTGAAGACTGGTCAGAGACTGCCCATCACTTCATTTTCAGGACAAAGAACCACTGTAAAAAGTTGATTCTAAATCAAGGTGGTTTAGAGGGGGTGGGGGTTTGTCCTTCTCCCAGCCTCAGAAGCAGTCTATAAAGTCAACAGACCTTTTGTTTCATAGAAACAATAATTTCCCCCCTAATTGATCAGTTTCATGTGTCAAATTTTCTCTAGAAAATCAACCCTGAGTGTCCCACTCCTTCCTGCTCTGCATCAAAATCAGACCTACTTATGAAAAACAGACACAGTCTTAGACAAAATTGTGAAGAAAACTTCTTCCACCTTTCTTCAACCTTCTTGCAGCCCTCCAATATCCAAAGGTCTTGAGGGCATCCCACCTCAGGGAAGCTTCATATACAAGTGGGAACTGTTGTTATTATGTGCCGTGGAGTCGGTTCTGACTCATAGCGACCCTGTACAGGGTTTCCGAGGCTGTAAATCTTTACCAGAGCAGAAAGCCTCATCCTTCTCCTGTGGAACACCTGGTAGTTTTGAACTGCTGACCTTGAGGTTCACAGCCCAATTCGTAACCACTACAAATTTAAAGCTAAACTAGACACCCTGAAAAGTCTATTTGAATTGCTCCAGATACTGGAATTTCAGGCATCTGGGCCATGGTATAGGGAGATATTTTTAGGCACGTGATCACTAGTTCTGTTTGAACCACAAGATTGGTGGTTCAAACCTACCAACCACTCCTCGGAAACCTTATACAGGGTAGCTAGGAGTCCTGGTATGTTGCTGTGGGCTAATGCATCAGACTGCAAAGTAATTTGAACTGCAAGGTCGGTGGTTCAAGCTTACCATCTGCTCCTTGGAAATTCTGTACAGGGTCGCTATGGGTCGGAATTGACTCGACAGCACTAACAACAACAGCAACACTGTATAGCTGTAGATGACATCTTTGGAGTTTGGTTTCTTTGCAAATCATTGTGAGAGATGAGAACTACTTCTTCCCTTTCCACCTCCCCCCACATCTCAGGTCTAAGTGTTTCCCTGGGTTCTGGCACCATGTTGATTACACAAGACCGGCTCCTTTCTGTCCTCTTTTGATCAAATGGAATAGTAATCATATTGTTGTGTGCCTACTGATAGGGTTTCTGAGGCTGTAAACTTTACGGGAGCAGAAAGCCTCATCTTTCTCCTGA